TCGATTTTCTACTCAATTAGTGTGTGCCTGGGGTCGGGAGGAGGAAGGGATAGTCGCGGGCGTCCAGTCGCTTCTTCGATGGCGATCCTTCGCAGAGGATATTTTAATTACTTAAATAACATTAATATAATTTATTAATATGATAGATTCGTTTGTCGTATATAAAAAGTTAGCTTAGCTCCATTATCGAACAAAACTGTTGGCTTCATAGCAAAATCGTTGAATCTAATAGAGGCTCAACAAATTGAGGCTCGTAATGCTTTATCGGTTTGATGATATGTGAATTTGTATCAACAATAAATGAAACCTAAGACTTATTTATAATTAAACATTCTCAGCTAGAAACAATTTCTTTTCCATTATCATGTTTAATGATATCTAACTTTTTTGAATTATATTATATATTCTTTTCCATTATCATGTTTAATGATATCCAATAAATGAAGACGAAGCAAGCATAAGAGAAGAAGTTAGCACAAGCGGGAAATTTATAGTGGATCGTGAAAGCTAGTAAGATGTAAAAAACGTGATAAGATTTTTGATTTATTACTTGTGTTGTTTGTAGTTATAATTGTAATGTTTGTTACTATTGTAATGAAATAAAAGATTTGAGTTTTTTATTTCTTAGACATAAATGATTAATTTCTGATATTAATCTAAATCAGCTTCAATTAATCATAAACCTTAACTCCAATCATAAACCTTAACTCTATTGATTAATCTAAATTAGCTTCAAGCTATAAAATAGACAGATTTGATGAATATAAACCAATATACAAAAACTAGCAGTATTATCTATACGAATCTACCACATGCTTAGCATGTAAAACTGGTTATATATATTATAATATAAATATATATTATTTTATATATATTGTAATATAAATTATATAATATTTACTCTAAAGAAATTGGAAAGCAGCTGTTCGTCTTCCCCATATAAGACAGTTCCTCTAATAAACTACATTATACCAATTTTTTTAAGTGCTGATAAAAAAAAAATTATGTTTATTATGTTTTCATGTTCAGTAACTATTTCAGATCTTGAATTTGCAATATTGTTTACAACTTTTTTTTAATGGAAAAAAAGTAACCATGGTATGTTGTATTCATTGTTAGCAATCAATAAAAAAAAAATCAAATACACTTAAAATGAGAAATACAGCTAAAAAATAAGAGAAGCAGAATTATACACATAATTCTGTTTTTCTTATTTTTTGACCGTATTTCTCGTTTTAAGTGTATTTCAGCTTTTTTTTTTCATTTATTGCTAACAATGCATACAACATATCATGGTTACTTTTTCCATTAAAAAAATATATTGCAAATTCAAGATCTGAAATAGTTGACTGAACATGAAAACATAATAAACATAATTTTTTTTTTTATCAGCACTTAAAAAAATTGATATAATGTAGTTTATTAGAGAAATTGTCTTATATGGGGAAGACGAACGGCTGCTTTCCAATTTTTTTAGAGTAAATATTATATAATTTATATTTCAATATATATAAAATAATATATATTTATATTATAATATATATAACCAGTTTTACATGCTAAGTAGATTCATATAGATAATACGGCTAGTATATTGGTTTATATTCATCAAATCCTTCCATTTTATAGCTATTTAAATTAATCAATGGAGTTAAAATTTATGATTAATTGAAGCTGATTTAGATTAATATCAGAAATTAATCATTTATGTCCAAGAAATAAAAAACTCAAATCTTTTATTTTATTACAATTGTAACAAACATTACAATTATAACTACAAACAACACAAATAATAAATCAAAAATCTTATCAAAGTTTTTTATATCTTACTAAGTTTCACGATCCACTATAGATTACTAACTTCTTCTCGTATGCTTGCTTCGTCTTTATTTATTGGATATCATTAAACATAATAATGGAAAAGAATATATAATATAATTCAAAACAGCTAGATATCATTAAACATGATAATGGAAAAGAAATTATTTCATTAAGTTTTTAATAATAAACAGTGTAAATAAATATAAATATAAAAGAATATATAATATAATTCAAAAAAATTAGATATCATTAAACATGATAATGGAAAAGAAATTATTTTTTTAAAAAAAAAAACATAAAGTAAATAAAAGGTGAAGTAGAAGAAAATCAGCAGAAAATAACCATCAGAGACCAAAATGTTTATCCCCAGAAGCATGAAGCTGTTGTACGGTCCGCATCATGGTTTGAACTTTCTCTCGCGAGAAAGATCACATCATATGGTTACTACCAATTTCTCACAAATTTTCGCACAAAAGAAAAAATACTCAGATTAAATCACATAAAAAAAAAAAAAAA